TCGAGGCAGTTACACAGTGCTTACAACTGTCTCTGGAAGTGAAAGCACCAGACAATCAATCAAGTCATACGCAGCTGTCATCCGTATGCAAGGAAGTGAGCACACAAGATGCCGAACACCCTTAGCAGGATGCAGCGCACCCTTCATGCGACTCGCCGAATATCTCACGGCGCTTCGCGCTTGGTGATGTGAGAGCCTGGTCCGGTGAGAACCCGGCGTGCTCCGTCCCGGCTTTGTAGGGATGCGAGGTCAATGGTCTAACGACACGGCATGCACGACTATGAGTACACCCCCCACACACCCACGACGACCAATCCCAACGGAACCCTCATTCTACAGTGGTCTTATCCCTCCTACGTCAACACCCGGCTAGAGTGGGGCCACAGCGGCCTGTGTCGGCGGTTCGTAATCGGCGATGCGGCTGCTTCTATCTACCGCAGCATGAGCATGGCGTGGACGAATGAGAGGGCGGAAACTGCCTGCGTTACGAAGACCCACGGGCAAACTTGTACTACTGCGCATGTACTATGAAACGTTATCGCGTTCAACATCGTGCAATACATCACAGAGCAATTCCTTCTGCGCGACCCTGGCTCGGAGGCGCTCATTAGGAGAAATGCGAAGCCACCGTAGGGCAGACCAGAACTTACAAGAGGCTGGAGAAACGTGATTGAAAGCCCTGAAGCAAGCATTTTTCGTCGTGCGATTCTACCACCCTTCCGCTCTCTCGCCTTGCACGTGATCATCCCTAGTGCTGCTCGTTTATCTGGTACATTGCTGTGTTCCTATGTGAACGTTTCGTTCATACTCCCTACTCGTTGTCCACGCTCGTCTCGCACTGAACAGGGGGAGACCGCGAGGCTTCGTCGCCCCCAAGGCTGGATGCAGCTGGGGCGAACCCTCTCGGCCGCAGAACCATCCACAGCTTCGGCCACCGACTACTCGTCGCGAATCAACCACCCACGACGACGGCGACGACAACATCCACGGCTTCACGGTGTTGCTGCCGAGAGGAGCGCCTCTTCCACCTCCCCACCACACCCACCGCCGCCGCCGCCGGAGGCGTTCTCGGGGAGGCGGGGCGCAGAGTGGGCGGGGTGGGAGTGCCGGTTTTCTGGGGCGGACGGGAGGCCTGTCGCCGTTCCGGAGGACTACGTGCCCGAGTCGCTTCGGGAGTGGGACGTGGAGGCACGCAAGCTCTCCGCTCTGTTTGTACTGCTGTGACTTGTTTGATGAGTTTAAGAAGCCCTTGTTTCTTTGCGCGCGCCATCATTGCCGTGCTTTGCCCACGCACGCACTCACGCACGCTCTCTGTGGTCGCGTGTATGCAGCGATTGGGTGGAACTCCGGTGATCCGGTGGCGCGACAAGCAGGAATCGTCTTCCATTTTCTGGGTTCTTCTCTTTTGTGACGACCCCCGAAGAGAGAGAAAGCGCTAGATTTACCTTCTACCGAAAGGCACAGTACCTTACCCACTTCGTTGATAGTTGTGTCCATTCTCTCCACCATCCGCTGTGCGGAACCTCTCCGTTTGCCCAGTGAACAAACGTTTGTACACATGTATCCATGGATTTTTGAAATGACGGCGCCCCCGACTCGATCAACGCCTCTTGTTGTCGGAGAACTACCGGCACCACGTGGGCACCGACACTCCCGCGTTGCCTGGTTACCACCCAAAAAAACAGCAGTATTGACCGTCCCGACATCATTGCCGCATCCAGGAAGCTGTGGAACAGCCCAGAGACAACACTCGAGAATGTTTTTTTTCCGTGTCGTGAGTGGCGGGTTGAGGGTGCTGCACACGAATTGAAATGCACGGCGGGACACAGCCGCACTCAAAGCGCGCACCTACTTCGTGTGGCGTGTGTACTCCAAAGTATAGGAGGCGGCCACCACCTCCGCCACCCACCTGCCCCGCCGAGGTTATCTGTTGCCGTCCCCCCTTTGTCCCTGCTGCCCTGCTCGTGTGGACACGGCGAACACACACACACACCGCCGTCTTTGGCTCTGACGATACCCCTCCCCCCTCGCCCCCGCCGACTTGATTTACTCAGGTGTGGGGTTTCGAAACGCTCACGAGCGAGCAGCTGCGAAAGAAGGAGGATCAGGGCGACAAGAACGGGGGCGGCAGCTGCACGGATCTACTCTACCGCAAGCGGGGCAGAGTCTTCCCCGAAACCGGGTGCGCCCTGGATAACCTGTCCCTGTGAGTCTCAGTGGTCGGGGGCGGAGCAAGCGCTTCTTGCTTTGAAGCCGTGTTTTTTAAAGTCCAGGGTCCACGAAGTGCTAGTGCTCTACGAAACCACTAAGCTCGCGTTGCGCGGAAGTTGTGTGGTGCCATCACACACGGCGCGATGATGGTTGGATTGTGTACGATGATCTTCGCGGTTCACCCGGTGTCCTATCACCTTTCTTGGCCTTTTGGGAGACGTGCCGTCGGGATCGAACAGATTTCTCCTTGTGCCGTCAACCGCACGCACGAGCAATGCTGCTGCTGCTGCTGCTGCATGTGTGTACTGACGTGGTGGGATGCGTTTGTTTGTGTGCGCGTGCGCGTGCGGGCGCGATTTGTTTCGGTCTTTCCTTTTCAGAGAGGTGAACGCCCGGACGTCACCGCTGGAAGGGGACGACGTCTTCGTTGCCAGCTTTCCGGTCGAGGGGAGTTCCAGTAGCTCGGCAGGGGGGCACATCATGGCACAGGTGACACAGAGAACAACTGCTGTGTACGGTGCGCTGTCCTACCCATGTCAGAGAGATTGAGTGTACGAGAGACAGACAGAGAGAGGGGGGGTGGGAAAGAGAGAGAACGAGCGAGCGAGAGACAGGGAGGGAGGGAGAGAGACAGACAGACAGACAGACAGACGACTGCCGCCGTTGCATGTAAAGAGTAACTACCGAATACCACCCCAGCATGCTACGGCTGCTTTGCCCCCGGAGCTGTGTTAGCGGCGGGAATCCGATAGCAGGCAGCCGTGCCGTCTAGCCTAATGTGGCTGGGGTAGATACCCAATGGCAGGACCTCCGGCGGTGTTTGCTTGGCTTGTCGTGCTTGTTGGTGTGGTAGCGTGTAGGCGGTGTAAAAGGATGCTCCCGTATGTGCTGCCAGCCACCACAGCAACAAACCGGGTCGTTAGGCGAGTGCTCCTAAACTATGTGTCTGTAGCTCGCGGATATATGTCCAGCGGGCAACCACGCCATCCACTCAGTCGCCGGAGTTTGTTCTTGGCACCCGACCAGACTCACTCGTATCCTACCCTGCTTGCACAGCATTCGCCACGGTTGTTTGTTGTCTTGGCTTATGTTCGCGCGTGTTGCGGTGTGGATCCTGCTATAGCAATCAGCCCGCTCTGGTTCACTACGTACCGCACATGCTATCGAGCAGTGGTGTGCGCTAACAGGAAGCACCAAATGGTTGAATTCGAGTGCGTCATAGGCATCGGGCTCATGGCGCAGACCGAACAAATTCAAATATAGAATAAAATGTGGAAAAAACGATTGTTCCGAATATGTACCTGAAAACTTTTGGTTCGTTTGGTGAAAAAAACACCCCCAAGCCTGTCTCTTAACTGGAGCAAATAAATTGATCTGGGGTGAGAGCTTACGACGGGCGGCGAATTTGCCCGGAGCAACAATAAATCTTGAAATGTGCAACTCGGTGTTTTAGCCTCTTGGCGATACTTGACGCTTCTCTCTTCGGTGCCGGTGCCTCCATCTCCGTATTGTACACAATACCAAACAATCACTCGCGCCCACGAAGCCTCACCCTCTCCTTCATCTCGAGGACGCGTCGTCAATGGTCTAACAGCTAAGGCACGCAAAACATGAGCACCCCCCCCCTTCCAGAACACTCGTGGTCATTGGTCTAGCCGCTAAGGCATGCAAAACATGGATACCCTCCCCCGCGTCCCGTCCCGTCTTTAGCAACCGGTGGCGGGGTCCCCGTCCTTACAGCTGGAAGTCGGCCTTCTGGTCCCCGGAGTGCAATTCACGGACCCGTCGATGTCGGCATCGACACCCGCTGTCCAAGACGGAGAACAATCGGCAGCAGCGGCAGCGGCGGCTTCCGACGGAGGACAAGAGTGCTCCAGGGCTAGGGTGGAGGTTCGCGTCGACGGCGGTGGCGGCGGCGGGGGCGAGAACGGAGGGCAAGGCACGGGTGGGGCGGCGGCAACGTTGGGGCCGATCGTGACGGTGACGCGGGAGCGCAGGTATCGCAACGACTTCGACGACGGCTTACTATACAAGGGTGAGCAGCGGGGTTCTTGGTCTTGGTGGGGGACCCGGGTTCGTCGGTTGAACCGGTGTCGTGCTTTTTTGCGTCATGCTTGCGTGTGTGAGAGTGCATCCAAACACAAAAACAAAAGATACTAGGCTTGCAACTCACTTTGTCCGGCGAAAAGAAAGAGAGAGAGAGAAAGACAGAGATAGATAGAGATAGAGAGAGACAGACAGAGGGAGACAGAGACAGACAGAGACAGAGACAGAGACAGAGAGAGGGAGGGAGGGAGGGAGGGAGGGAGAGAGCACGGTCAAACGACGGGTTGGTGGCTGTTGACTCGCCCGCGTGTGACGCCGGCGGGTCATGTGCGCCTTGACGGAACGGACACTCGAAAAAATTCACGAGTTTCGTTCCGGCGGAAAGGACCGCAGCAGCACGGCTGACGTGAAAGGCACACTACAGCACCCCCAGCGGGACTATGCCAGCGCTCTCCGCGCACGGCTGATTGACTACGCATGTCCTGCCTTTTGCCACCCCTAGACCCCCTTTTGGGTTGTGGATGTTGCAACCCGACTCTAGCAGGCGGCACGGTAGCCCAGCCTCGACAACTATGCGCCCGTCGTTCCTGTGATCCATTCGCAGATCTTTGTCTGGACGGGAACCAAGGAAGAGGAACGCGTGCTTGGTAAACAAAGGTGGCTCATTTTTTTTGTCGAAGTCGAATGCATGTACGTCCTCACCCGCCGGGATACCGCGGTTCACCACAAGGCCTGTGATGTTCGTCTCACGTCGAAGGTGGCGGGCTAGACTCCCAGAAGCTGCGCGGTCTCCTGCGGTCCAAGTGCTTCGCCGAGTGCGAGGAATCCCCGACAACCGACGACTTGGCGGGGAACTGGGTCTCAGGACCGGGGCACTGGCAGGTATGCTCCCCCCACAAGTGGCGCCGTAGGTTGCGTAGGATACCATCCCCCTGGAACCGATTGTCAAAGCTAGTTTGCTTCACGGCAGACGGCGCCGAAAGTGGTGGCGTTGAGAGCTCGTTTGGTTTTGGCTGGCGTCCTCTTTGCTGGGGAGTAACTTGAAGTTCGGTCCGGGGTGTGTGGTATCTTTTGCAATGCGGCAAGAGGGTCTCAGCACTTGGGACTCTTGTCCTATTTCGGATTCGCCTTCTCGCGCTCGCCTCCCCCTTCGCTCCGACCACATTCTTGACAGGAAAAAGGAACAGTTCCTTTTTGAAAGTGTTTGTGTTTGCATTGATTGTTTCATTTTTGGGGTTGGGTAGGCATGTCAAGCTGGCGTTGTGTCATGAGTTCCATGTCTGCACACCGTCCCTTACCTTTTGCTGATGTGGTATTGCCACGTTCTTTGGCCCGGGCATGCCGAAGCGACCGCGGTACAATACCGCTGCTTTTGCGGGTGGAGAAGATTTGGTTTCGTTGCGCCGCTAGGCCCCTGTCCGTGTTCGCTCGCGCACCTACCCATGCTTGTGGCGGGTCCGTCGATCGGCACCAACAGCGCGCGACACATCGTGCTTGCCGCGCTGCATCTTCAGCGGCTGAAGAACCTTCTCTCCACCTGGTTCTGAAGCACCCCAACAATCAGCAACGATGTCAACTACATCACCCACAGCAGTATGTTTTGCTGCCACTGCTTTGACCACCACCACATTTTGCAGTGATGAAGACAACAAAAATAACAACAACTGCAACGAGCTCTCGACCGATTCGCTGCCTGCCTGTGTGTTCCCGATCTCGTCCAGCTGTTCCGCACCCACGCTGCAGGCGGCTCGGCCCCCCGCGCGTGCACTCCCACGGACGGCGGCGGCGTAGCCTTCGACCGAGAGACCGCCGGCATCAAGACCCTGCTGCTGCCGGGCGGCATCACCGTGCGCTCGGGGCCGTGGCTCGGCGCCGCCGCGGCCGACGGGACCTCGAGCGCCCCGGAAAAAAGGTGGGGCGCAGCCGGGGCAGCGCTGGCCGGCGAAACGGCGGGGTTTCCCACTGAGGAGGCGGAGCCCTGGGCGGTGGAGGTGGGGTGGTTCGTCGTGGAGGATGGCGAGGGGGGAGCGAGTGCCGCGATCTCGAGGGAGAAGCGGGAGGTCCTGACGACCGTGGTGGACGCGAGGACGACGACGCCTCTGGGGGCGTGGAGAGGGGCTGAGAGGCGGGGTTGACGGGCTCGGGGCGGCCGCCGGTTGCGTTTGATTCGTTCACTTTTCTTTTGCCCCGCCTGGCACCTTTGTTTTGGCTCTCCTGTTTTTGCCCTCACCATACGCGCCCAAAATCTACTTTTTCCAGAGACGACGTCCTTGTTTTGAGCTATCTTTTTTCCGCATGTTTTTGGGGGGCTGCGTGGAGGTGGCTTGGGAATGCCGGGCATCCGCCGTGGCTAACACCGTGTGTCCAACATCCGGAGTGAAGAGTCTTTCGGCTACACAGGTTTCTTTCAGGGCGTTGCCCGAGCGCTAGTCGCAGAAACAGGCGCGAACTTGCGCATGGAATCGATCGCAGATGGAAAGAGCGCGCGCCCCCGTGAGTAATTGATGGGAGCAGCATTACACGTCGTTGTCGAATTTGACAACCAAGGACGGCTTTGGAATCATGGCTTCTGTTTGGTTGCGGTCCGTGAGATCGTGATTTCATCCTCAAATATTCTTCCTCGCGATAGGTAGTTCCCGATTTTTACGGTGCATGCACCCAGCAGAAGCTCCACCCCGGGGTGGTAGACACCGTCACCATTCAATGCGAGGAAGTGGCAGCGTTGGAACCGTCTCTTTCCGAAAGCGCGTGATTTTGGTTTCAGCATCCTCGTAGACGTGCAGTAATCGGACCTTGAAGGTCGTTCCAGGCTGTGCGTGTGGTTTGCAACCTGCGGTTTACGCCTCACACTTCGGATCGATTCCGTTCGTTCCGGATTCGCCTCTCACGCTCGCCCTCCCCACACTCCAAGCACATTCGAGGCTCAACCAAACGAGGCCGTCGCGCTGACGGAATATGTCGCTATTACTCCGCCACGAAAATCCAACCCAAACTTCTTTCTTGCCTTGCGGGGGTAGATGGCTCGTAGGTGGGTAGGATGTACCCCCGTTTTCTCGCTAAATACTGGGGCGTCGCGGTTGAGTGCCTTTCTTCTGACGCTGCGTGGTCCATTCCCGCCAGGGGTGAAAAATAAACAAATGGAGCTATTCACGGCAGCACTAGCCGTGCAGCACAAGCCACAAAGGTGTCACATCGGCTTTGGAATCTATTTGAATAGACCTTGAAACCACGCATTTGTTTATTTCCTTGTCCGCCTCGCCGGAACGTTTTCCTACCCGGGGACCGGAGTGCCCTCTGCTGTGAATGTCTACCAGGCGCGCAAGGAAACACGACGCATAGGTCTGGACGTCATATGATGATACGACAAGGCCGCACAGAGCAGCAATGGTTCTTAGCGTGGTACACGGTATTGTTGATCACCGTGTGCCAGGCGAGGGCAGGCGCCATTTGGAGATTATGCATGCACCCTTAGTTCCGAACCGGTTGTTGCATCGCCTCCCACGCACGCCCATGCATTGCCGCTCAGTACATGACGACACCTCCGCCTTGTTTTATCGAACACTTGCACAAAACACAATCACGCCGTTGCCTGGCAGGCGTTGTCGCGGTAGCTGCTCATGACCTGCGGCCTTTACGCCGCAGCGCCGTTATTGCTGCCAATGTGTGGGCGGGTTGGGGTGGGGGGAAGGCAAACACCCTGACAAGCGGCGCACTGGAAGAACGCACCACCCGATATGCGTGTCAATTGGTGCCGGTGATCTCCTGAAGACCTGCACAGCGCAAATCACCTCCGGAACGTACGCGGCGCAATCACGAGTTCGAGTGCGGCCTCGTCGACCATTCTACGAAACCCTCCGCGTCTCACAGGATCAAAGTGCGAAACGTTCCCTTCCCAAGTCGCCGCATTGTGCTTGGTCAGCGTGGCCCGGTGCAGCTGCTCCTCGGCTTGCCGACACGAACACGCCGACGAAAATTATCCCAGGCGCCGCCACCGCCGCCGTTGCACACACCCTTATGCTGCAAGGAGAAGAGTCAACGTCGGCGGTAGATTTTTTTCGTCCTATGCCTCCGCCGCGCGCTGGTCATGGAAATCCTTGGCGAAGGTCTGCGCCACGAGGAGGGGGAGAACCAGCGTTGCTTCCGCGTAAATCTGGCCAACGGACAAAAAAAAAACGTTCGGGGGTGGGTGTGGTATTGTGTGTAGCGTGCGGGGGTTTCGAAACATGGCACTCTAGAAGACAGAGAGAGGGAAATAGAGACAGGTACAGAGACGGAAGGAGGGGGAGATGGAAGCCCGGGTTATGCCCTCAAGATTTTCACTGCCGGGTGAAGGGGGGAGGCCTGTTGTCGTGGTTTGCTTGCGTTGGTCTTGCAACCATCTTTGAGGTAAAGACCACGCACAACTCGGGCTATAGACGGACGTAGCACCTGTAGGCTCTGAAAGAGCATTTCTAGACAGTTCTAGTCTTCTCCATGCACCATGTTCCCCTCGTTATGCAAGCTGCAACGTTCTTCGCATTGCCGCACTCGCCTTTGTTAAGGTCAACAATGAAGTAAGAGTCTCCCTGGACGGTCTATCACTCCGATCTCTCTGCTGAGCGATTTTTGTTTGGTGACGGAGAGGAGGGGGAATCCACCAACGACTTCTCCGAAATATCTCGGCCGACACAGGCAAACGTTGCCTTCTCAACTCACAACAGCGAGTATCCCCAGGCTCCTTATGAGGATAGACGTTTTGATTCCCACATTTCTGAAGCGAACAATAGGAGGGGGGAGGGGGGGTGTACTCATAGTCGTGCATGCCGTAGTCGTTAGACCATTGACCTCGCATCCCTACAAAGCCGG